ATTTTATCTTTATTTTGTTTGGTTGGAGTACAAATTAAGTAAAGCAAAAGCAAGACTTCAAGCAAAATAAAATACAACCTAAACCAAAATTAAATCAGAATTTACATTCTTTCAGTTTGCACTAAGGCAAATAAAATTGCACTGCAACCAAACACGGGTTTTATTTCCTTTTATTTGCAATGCAATCAAACAAAATAAGTCATTGAAACAAAAAATTAATTTGAATATGCACTCAAAGCATTAACACTCCCATGCTTTTGCATCATAGCAAATAAAATTGCACCACAAGCAAACCAAATCGAACTGATGGTGCAATGAAATATCCACGACTAAAACAGGCAGAGTTCAGATCTATGCCCCACAATGTCCCACAGCACATCCCCATCGTCTATTGGAAACATTTTCCGGTAATAACATCATCAGTTTTAGTACTATCATCAGGAGAAGTTTCCAATACACGACAGGGTGTGCTGTGGGACATTGTGGGGCACAGATATGAACTCAAGCAGGTACCTCCACAAGCTTTATATTCACTCTCTACTTAATTTGCTTATTCACTAAAGACAAACCAACAAGTAATTCAATTGAGCCAGTTCAGTCACGGTAAAACGGCCCAAAACAGCAAAGCTACACTACTATTTCCATCATTACACTTAGAAGCGAGGGGTGTATAGTATAACTATTAATAGTGCACTCACAAATCACAAATCACAAATCACAAATCACAAATCACATTTCTGGACAGACTAGGGCCACAATGGCACCTATTGTCTGTGGTCCAAATTCCAAGAGTACAACACTGATTTTCTCTAATGGGAGGTCATGAACCCAAGGATCCATGAACAATTGGGCCATCCTTGTAGTGTGCAAGAATGACAATGTGTCCTTCTCTGCGTTATCAAGCTACAAACCCAACCATGGTGTCTCCCATACACACATGAATTGTAAGGCCCGGCCTGCTCCCCATAATTATCAGAATATGCCACACCCACAATGTATCTGCCGGTCGGCCCAGTAGACCCAATTAAATCTCAACAGTTTTGTACTCATTTGATCAATTTTCATGTAACCCCATTCCGGACCGACTGTATCAAAATTCAATGAACCATCCAGTATCATATTAACCAAAGAAGTTGGTAAGTATAAATTTATCCCAAATGTGGGGGGAGGTTTTTTCAGAGGTTAAAGTAATTGTCAGAAAATGCAAACATGGAGAGCCTACGTTTATGCGGGGTTGATCCTGCACCTCTATATTTTGGAGGGGCGCCGAGCGACCAAGTCGACTACTGGGTCATCGGTTTTTCTTTTTTAAGGGTCCACCCGTGAGGCTAGAAAGAAAGAAAAAGGCCTGAGCATATAAAAGCTTATATGGATTGAGTATCAAGAAGTCATGAACAACACAAGAAGAAGAAAGCAAGCCGATAGGGAGAAAGTTTGATTGTTTGTTTGAATAAACAAAGCAAAGTAAATGCATTGGTAGAGTAATCACAGCTATAACGTGGGCAACAGAGAGGACAATTGAGTCACGAGAATTGGCCTCTGAAGGCAATTCTTGTGATACACATGAATATGTACAAACCAAAGACAAAGAAGCCAGTTCCAATTCCATATTCTTTCTTTCATACCTCATGCTCTTTCCAATCCCTCTCTCTCTCTCTCTCTCGTCTTATTATGTCTTGATTACTGTATGATCAGGTGGCTGAGATCAGCCTGGTCTATGAAACTACTGGCCAAGATTAGGTTCAAGTTCTGCCCCACCCACTTGACCTAAACCTAGCCCAAGCAAGACTTTTTGGATAAATAAATAAATGGATAAACAAAAGTTTCCCATTTCATAGATTTTTTTGATGTGATCATGTGAACCCTCGGCATGCCTAAAACAGAACTAGGGGTATCAATTGGACTGGATTTAGTTCCAATATGAGTCCATTCCAGATGGACCAGGTCTAATCCATTCAAATTGTTTTTAATTTAGATCGGTTATAATTCAAACTTGGTCCATTGACACCTATATTCTTATTTTCTATCAATGGATTAGATATCCATTCAATCCGACCCAATCCAGTATAAATCCATTACGAATGAATCAGGTCCAATCCAATCTGATAAATACTTTGGACAATTAAATCTAGACTGATCCAATTCAATATATTTTATCGGTCTGTCTAATCTATTCAAATTAATTTTCATTTGGACGGGTCTAACCCAAAACTGATCCATTGACACCCCTCCAAACAGAAGGTAGACATTGAACAACTAAAGTCTTGAAGGAGTAGAAAAGATTTTCCTTTGACCCAAACAAGCATTTTTTTCCCCTTTATTTCTTTTAAATTTTTACAAAAACTAGACAGAAGAAACTATGTATATTTTAGCACTCCTTAATTAATCTACATTCCAATTTATGATAACCTCAACATTTAATTAATTAGTAGGAATTGATTATAGTTCCATAATACTTGCTATAAGGAATGACAGACTGAATTCATTGCAAAAAACTACATATTTTATTATATGATTATTTTATCCAGCAAAAGAAAATTAAGGGAACAAATCATTCAGTCAATTTTCTAACCGGCTCAACTAGGGAGCTTCCCTTTATTGCCTAGTTAGTGTATATCTGCCCCGTGGGTGGACGATGTGGTAGATCAAAGCCATCCATTGAGTGGCAACTCTCTGGATTTGCCACATGTTTAATCATGTAGTCCACATCAGCCCCATATCATTTTTGAACTAGTTTCAAGGTCTTTTAGCCCAAAATTCCCAAAGGTAATGGTGGGAATAGGAACAATAGGGACCCTTTTTGTTTCCAAACTCATTTGCCACTTGGAAACTCTAAGTGGGTATATATTTGGTACATTGTCATTTATAGGAGAAACACCACCATGTAGGTATGTATTTCTTGTCATAGAGACTGAATTCTTGTTTGATTGAACCGTTTAAAGTGAAGTGGTTGTGTTTATACTTGTCTCAGCCTATATGAAATCACTTTTTGGAGGAAACATCAAAATATTTCATCCTTTTATCCTATATGACACCTAATAGCATCTAACTTTCTTAAATAACAACAAAAAAATGTGCATCAGTTTTAGTGCATAACACCACCCACCTTTACTCTTTACAGGACAAATTGGGTACAAGTGTTTCCTGAGAAAATGGCAATGGTACCAACCATAACCTAGAAAACCCCTTTCATATATCATTTAATTAGGTGCTGTTTGGTAAGGCCATCCAGATAGTCTTTCGGTTGCTAGTTGAGATTTAGAGACTTGATAGATGGCCATTTGATGGGAAATAGGATCTACCACTGACAAATGCTTCTAGCAAACTTCTCGACAAGACATTATAATTATACATTGAGAATATCTCCCCATGAATGATAAAGAAGAGGCTCCTGATGTGGGGAAGTAGTGGATTGTTGGGATAAGATTCGAACTCATTTGATGGTACTTTAGATCTGCTGTAAACAAAGGCATGTACAATGGGCTATGTAACCAATTAAAAGTGAACACCCAAAACATAGATTGTGTGTGATAAATGTATGCATCACTATTGTGTTGAATCTTGATTGGTTGTGTAGCCAGTTCTGTTTGTAGCATATCCCAATCCATTAGATGGATGTATGGATCCATCACACCATCCTTCAAGTGCCTAAAATACAAAAATTATCTAAAGATTGGAATATGTTTTTGATGGCCCAATTGAGAAATCCTTTTCCATAATGTTTCCCCAAACTTATGAGGGATGATACTGCAAATTGATACAGAGTTTATAAGAAAGGGACCATCTGTTTTAGCAACTTGGAGTGCTGCTTCATCCATGGCAACCTCATGCCCTACCATACATTGGGTTGTTTCCATGTAGACAACAGCCCTCCAATTTTTATAGAACAAAGAAATCCCTTCTATAGAGTACATCTTGGGTCTGGTTGGGTCGGGAATTTGTCAAATTTTCAATGAGTTCGAGGCCCTAGTCAAAGCTCAATGTAGTTCAACCTCGTGCCATATCATACATTGGGTTGTTTTCATGTGGACAACAGCCCTCCAATTTTGAACAAAGAAAACCCTTTTATAGAATGTAACTTGGTCCAGTTGGGTTGGGAATTTGTCAAATTTCCAATGAATTGGAGCCCTAATCAAAGCTCGATGTAGTTGAAGTTCTTCAAATTGGATAACCCGACTTGGAGCACTACTTTCTATAGGATACTTAGTGGGTGAAGAGAGTAGTATCTCCTACCCACACTCACCCTTCCATTCTGTTTAGTGTCAAATGTTATATATAATTGACAAAATGAACTAAAAATGACTGTGATATTGTATACCATCAATAAAAACACAATTTCTATGAGACTTAGACCTACAATTCTTTTTAGAAATGCAACTTAGGCAGGCTTGAGTTGGGATTTTGGCAAAATTTGAACATGATACAGTATAAAATCTTCAAATCGGATACCTGACGCGAACCCATAAATTCTTTAGTAGATATACATTATTTAAATCAATTTCACTAATAAATAGAAAATAAATTTTATGTAAAACAAAGTTTGTATATCTAAGCATAACGGGCTGAATTCATATCAGATCACCCTTAACCGGATTGGATTTGAATTCAATTGGAGTTTATAGGCCTAATATATGGGCTGCTTTCAATAATAGCACAACAAGAGATTTACACTGGCTCAATGGTGCAAGTAACATTGAGTTATTTTCAGAACCAATTAACTAAGGAACCCTATTGATGAGGGGCTCCTAATTTGAAGAGCCATCCATTACATTACAGGGTCCATTCCCATTTGTATGATATGGAAGTGGGACCCATGAGTAAATTTGAAAGGTTGAGATTCGATTTCCATATCAGATCCGTGTTATAGGGCTCTGGCCCAATACAATCCACAGATGGGTCTCAAGTGGGTCCCACTTCAACGAAAAAAATAAAATTAAAAAAAAAAGGTAAGAAGACCTCACCTCATGGAGTCATGGGGTCATGGGGGACTCTCGTGGAATCGAAAAAAAAACCCCTCCACCTAAGCCCGACAAGGTCGACAAAGGTGAAATGTCCTCCCCAATCCAACCAAAAACATCTCCCCCCATTTTCTCAGACAAGGTCAAACTGAACCTCCCTGAACCCATGGCCTCATAGGCCCCCCTCCTCCCTTCCATAATAGCCAGAAATGGAGAGAGAGAGAGAGAGAGAAGCGAGGATGAAGAGACCGTTTGACGCGGTTCTAACTTCTAAGTTAATTCGGAAGCCAGAAAAAAGCAGACCTTCTCATTGATTAACCTCCACAAACATTCAATATCTCAATAATTTAATCCCTTTAATCTAAAAATAACCACTTACACACCCATGTTCGCTTCTCCCTCCAAATGTTAGGCTTATTAGCACTTATCGGAGCTGAAACCAGTAGAAAATTCAGAAAAAATAAAGAAAAGAAAATACCCAGAAAAATTTGGGGAGGAAAACAAAAACCCAGACATGGGATTGTCCCTTGGTTCGAAAAGAAAAGGCCAGTACTTGGTTGCATTGCGCCTTTTGCTTTCCCGTTAATCAAAAACAAAACAAATCTTACTTAACACAGAGAAAGAATACACAAACGAACGCCCAAGGAAAGCAAAGAAGGAAAGAAAGAAACGTTCTGTGGATTCGGGGATTGATATGTTCAATCTCTGTTTCTGGGTTCTGAAACGAATTTCTTTATTTGGGTTTGTAATGGGTGAGGGTATTCGGTAAATGTGAGGTGGTGGAAGAAGTGAAGTGAGGATGAGCAGAGAGTATAGTGGCGCAAAAGCCTGGGAAGCGACTGTCCGTAAGACACAGGCTGCTGCGAAGAAGCGTGTGAGCGGCATTTTCTCGACAATGTCGGTTGCCCATGTCGACGACGAGGAAGGTGGCGGCAGTGCCTCGGAAATGTACTATGCGGAGCGCATGCTCTCTAATGGCGACTTCTACACGGGGCAGTGGGTCGAAAACCTTCCTACCGGCACCGGGAAGTATCTGTGGACCGACGGTTGCATGTACGTCGGCGAGTGGTTTCGCGGGAAGACCATGGGGAAGGGGAAATTCTTCTGGCCTTCTGGGGCTACCTATGACGGAGAATTCAAAAATGGGTACATGGACGGGAAGGGAGTTTACACTGGTCCTTACGGGGATACCTATCGTGGGTCATGGGTTATGAATCTCAAGCATGGCCAAGGTACTAAGCACTACATTAATGGCGACTGTTATGAAGGGGAGTGGCGTCGTGGTGCGCAAGATGGACATGGCCGGTATCAATGGAAGAATGGGAATAGCTACATTGGGCAATGGAAGAATGGTGTTATCTGCGGCAATGGGACTCTGATGTGGGCAAATGGAAATCGATACGACGGGATGTGGGAAGATGGGATGCCCAAAGGGAATGGTACTTTCAGGTGGGCCGATGGGAGCTTCTATGTGGGTACTTGGAGTATGGACCCCAAGGAACAGAATGGGACTTATTATCCGTCCGGCACTTCGCCGGCGGCGAATCTTGATTGGGATCCTCAGGTTGTGTTTTCATCTGATTTGAATGATTGCAAGGTTTGTCCTGGTGAGAAAGTCTCTGTTTTCCCGTCGCAGAAGACCCTTACTTGGCCTGGATTTGAAGGAGATGCGCAGAAGGGTGGGTGGAAGCCGTCGAAGCATTCGGATCCTGGTAAGCCGAGGAGATCATCTGTGGATGGGAAGGGGGGTGCAGATAAGTTTGATAGATTTTGCATTTGGGAGAATGATGGGGATGTTAATTGTGACATTATTGATGGAAATACATTGTTGGGGAGAGATGGAGACGATGGGAGTCTGCAGCTTGAAGATACTGATTCTAAGGGAACCCGGCAGCAGTTGAAACTGAATCAGCCAAGGGAGGCGAAGCGGCAGGGGGAGACAATCTCTAAAGGCCATAAGAACTACGAACTCATGCTCAATCTGCAGCTAGGAATCAGGTACTGATCCAAAAATCTTTTTTGTGCTCCTTTTTGGCCTGCTTTTATTTGTTTGTTGTTGTTGTTCATGTAATCATTTAGTCGTTTGATTTATAGCTTCTATATATTTTTGATTGTTTCCTTTTACCTCCACTTTTATGAGAAAATCCTTTTGGGTATGTTAGAATTTTAAAGAGAATTTTATATTGAAGAAGGTTGACACTTGATAGAATAGCTAGAAGCCATTTCTGATAAGGATTTTATCCATTAACCATTGGTGAAGACCATTCATAATGTTCCCCTGATATGATCATCTCGACTCTGGAGAGCATTGAAACTTGATACTTCTAGTCGGCTCAAAATTTTGAAGAGTTTATGAAACCTGTGGCTGTGGAGCTATATGAATAATAATCAGAAATTAAAGTACTCTTTCCCTGTAAGTAATTTATACAGAGAATCGCTTTTTGTCAAGTTTACATATGAATTTATCAATCTGATGCCTTTTTTTTTTCCTTTGAATAATCTACATGGTCATTGGTAAAAAAAATAATAATAATAATCTACATGGTCAACAAATAAACTGATATAAGTTCATAATCATGTCCCTTCTGTCTTCTCTTTTCTTTTCACTGAAATGAATCTATTCCCTTGTATGGAGGATTTTCTGCTTACTACAATTCTACAATATCAGCTTGTTGAAATGCTCTATGTTTTTATACATAGTTTTTCAATGGCTTTCCATGCAGTTGTAGATGAGGGAGATGCAAGAAAGAAACAGTGACCATCTATTTATATGTATTTTTGCATTGCATGTCTTAATCCATTCCCAATTAAAGGAGGCTTCAAAACTAGGAAAATGAAAATAGTACAAATAGGGATAAAATATGATCCTTAAAGCATCTAGTACCATATTTAGAATTTTGTCTCCCTGAATTTACTCATGAAATTTTGGTACTCTCCATTCATATGTATTAGCATGCTTTGGTCTTCAAGGATATGGCTTAAGTTAAATAATTAAATCTGAAAGTTGGCATTTTATTCTCTTCAATAAGATATATTTGATCTTCATGGTTTTCTCAGGCCCATCCTTTTCTGAGGTTTGGGAAATCTTAAGCTTCTAAATGATGGAATGAAACAGGACAAGGTTTTTACCCGTAGTATTCAATTCCTAATTCTTAAGCTCTAGCTGAGATATTAAAGAAATAGCAACATGGATTATTATGACTTGTTCTATCTCAGGCTCCATGACATTGTGCAGAGCATGATGGCCCCTTGTAATACTGTTAGAAGGAAGAGACAGCTCTGCAGAGAATGAAGAATGATTTACAAGTCAAATTGTTTATTTTAATCTGTTAATCAGTGAACAACTTTCAATTAGGAAAACTAGAAATGGTCTCTCTCCAAGACTTACATTTTTTTGTGTAGATTCTGAATCCAAGACCTTGTTCCTGCCTTGTCATTGACATATTTCAGTAAAACAGTATATGTGTGTCTTATGTATCTCAATTCTCAAAGCCTGTACTGTTCATACATAGCTCTCTGTGAACACTTTGATCACTACCTTCTTAACATGTTACACATTTGAACAGGCATTCTGTAGGAAGACCTGCTCCAAATGCATCCCTTGATCTGAAGGCTTCAGCTTTTGATCCAAAGGAAAAGGTATGGACAAAATTCCCTCCTGAAGGAAGCAAGCATACTCCACCACATCAATCCTCTGAATTCAAATGGAAGGATTACTGCCCAGTGGTTTTCAGGTTAGTCCTTGAACAACATGTTTTATTGCCATTGCTAAATCCTGTTTCACATGTTGAGTACTTCGATTCAGTTACCTTTTCCTTACCTTTTTATCATTATTTGTACTCAGGACACTCCGGAAATTGTTCAAGGTGGATCCTGCTGATTACATGATCTCCATATGTGGAAATGATGCACTCCGGGAACTTTCTTCTCCAGGGAAAAGTGGAAGCTTCTTTTACCTGACCAATGATGACCGTTACATGATAAAGACAATGAAGAAATCAGAAGTAAAAGTGAGTTCTGTTTTCTGCTATAACTGCCTTGGTTAGAATCAAGATTTTTTTCCATGACCTAATTTGATTTCTTTCGGTGTCCTTGTACAGGTGCTTATAAGGATGCTTCCAGCCTACTATAACCATGTCCGTGCCTTTGAGAACACGTTAGTTACCAAATTTTTTGGTCTGCATTGTGTCAAGTTAACTGGGGCTGCACAAAAAAAGGTAGGAAAGCAGGCATGAGAATATCAGATACTAATTTCAGGTCCCAGAGTTTGTCTGAAATTTTAACAGACGAGGTTCTAATATATTGTAAGCTTATGAATGACTGATGAACCAGGTTCGCTTTGTTATAATGGGAAATCTGTTTTGTACTGAGTACCCAATTCATAGGCGCTTTGATTTGAAAGGATCTTCCCATGGCCGCACAACAGATAAACCAGAGGAAGAGATTGATGAAAATACAACCCTTAAGGACCTTGACCTTAACTTTATATTTCGACTGCAGAGAACATGGTTTCAAGAGCTTCACAGGTGAATTCAACTTAACAACCTAAGCTATATATTCCAATGAAAATTTTACTTTGTTCATGAAATTTGGTTGCTTTTTGTTTCAATCTTCTTCTTTGTGTTCCAAGCTAAACCTTTCCTCTCACAGGCAAGTGGATAGAGACTGTGAGTTCCTTGAACAGGAGAGGATTATGGACTACAGTCTTTTGGTGGGCCTTCACTTTAGAGAAGCATCATATAACAAGGACTTGGCTACAAATGAGGGTCATCCATCTGGAGCTCGAACTCCCATCGATTATTTCTTATTATTTATAAAATCACTAATCCTATTTGTAACTTCAGCTTGATCTTCTGCTCAACAGAGTAAATATTATGACCTTTCTATACAGGTAATGGCGACCAAGAGAATGAAGCAGCTCAACTTTCTAGGGTGGAGATGGATCAACTTCTTTTTGATCCTACACGGTATAACTGATTCATATGAAAGCTTTAGTTAGTCTTGTTATCAATTTTTAACGCTAATGTTCCTTGTCAAATGTGCATATCTTTTAGTTTTCCTCTCAAACAATCCCTTTGTATCGAGTATTACAGGTGGGCAACCATCAGATTGGGTATAAATATGCCAGCACGGGTTGAACAGACAGTGAGAAGAAGCGATTGTGATACTCAACTGGTTGGAGAGCCCACAGGAGAGTTCCATGATGTGATCCTGTTCTTTGGTATCATTGACATACTCCAAGATTATGATATCAGCAAGAAGCTAGAACATGCATACAAGTCCATCCAATATGATCCAACGTCAATATCAGCTGTTGATCCGAAGCAATACTCAAGACGCTTCCGTGATTTTATATTCAAAGTTTTCACAGAAGACACTTGAATCCCAGCTTAAAGCCACTGCAACCGTTGCATATGGATTTAACAGCATTTGTTGACTTGTGTTGCCAGCTGATATTGGATAATTGTTGCAATTGTTGCTGGCAGCCATCCATGTATAGTGTCAGTCTTAGTTGAAATACGTTCTACTTGCTGCCAAACAGGTAACCAATGTGGCCATAGACATGGCCTTTGGAGGATCAGTTGTGGCTGCCAGAATTGCATGTTTGATATGCATTGCTCTTCTTTCCCTCTATATATTAATTATAGATTATATAATATGGTTGTCAAAGGTATAGATGAAAGCTTTTGACCTGGAAATATGCAAAGCTCATTCAAATTGTAAATGAATTTACCTGAGGGTAAACTGTACCAGAAATTATTCTTTATGTACCCAATTTTTTTTGTCTCAGAAGATGAAGAGGAATCTCTGGGATTTTGGGATTTGAATAAAAGTGTACAGAGAGGTAAGGGAACTGAACCAAATTTTGTCATTCCATCTATACTAAAATGCTTTTGATATTCTAGAGTCTACTGATTCTCTAGTGTGTAAAAATACTCTGTAATGGCATGCTTTTGTATGACGCTCATATCTGAAGGAGTGATGAGGAAGGAAAATAGGATTAGAAACAGAGGATGAGAATAAGGCTGGAAAGGTTATTACAGGTTGTTATTTCAAGTAATTTGCTGATGCAATTTAGTATACAAACATGCAATCTCATGGGGTAAGAAATTATTTGCTAAATTGGTGTAGCAAGGAATTTATTCTTTCGCAGATTGGCAATTACTTGCAAGGACTTGATGCAATAAAATGGGGTGGGTGGACTGTGTTTTGAAAAAAAAAAGGTGCAAGCAAAGATCATGTCAGATAATTAGAGACTTGACTTTATTGACTGTTTATATTCAATTTGTTTTTATCTACTTCAATCTCCTATCAAATTTCATTCATGCAAGTATTCCTGTTTGGAGGCTGGGAGCCTCATGCATTGGGCTACCCTTCAAGTATTCTTGTACATAGAGGCCATTGTGAGAATGTGAAGTGAAAGGGAGTCCAATATATTCAATTATCACCAATCATATTGAGTTTGAAAATGGCTGAAGTAGCTGAATTGAATGACTTATTGCTTTGTCTTTTGCTGGGTAAAATAATTAAATAAAAATAATTTGGTCTACAATAATCAATCCAAATTCAGTTTCTGCCATTAAGGAGCTGATATATTTTCTTGTAATCCAAACAGTGGGAGTTATTCTAGGCAGGGAATACGAGTTGAACCCATTGCCAAACGTGGATCCAGTCAGTAACTGATGAGAAAACTATGTAGATCCAGTCTCATTGTCCCAACCAGACCCTACAGGGTCTATAATACTAGACTCAGAACCGAACCAATTCTTAATCAGGCTAATTGGGTCTCACCTTGGAATCTGTAATTGCCTACAATATAATAATTTTAAACTCATTTTTAATCTAATCTTAATAAAATGATAGTAAACAGTATACCTGCCATATATGCATAATCATTTTGAAACAGCATTGGGATACAAAAATAAGCAGACTCAGTATAATTGGTTCGGTTTGGTTCTGTCAGGTAAACCTGATCCATTGACAGGGCGAAATTAAACCAATCAAATTTCATTAGCAATGACTGCTACTACATAGCATGTGTTTGGATTCTTTGGAACCATGGGCGTTTTTAGCATTTTTCCCATTATGTGAATTTGTATGTATAGGGATTTAAAAAAATAGATTTCGGTTTATGCACACTATCATTGGTGAAGCTTCATTTTGGCGTTACTGATATAGCACCTAATAGCTCCTAAATGTCAATAAATAGGGTTCATCGTTACTTTTCTCAGTTTTTCAAACAAATCAAATATAAAATATTTATTCAATAAATATCCACGATTTCAAACACATACATGATCTACCTTATAAGGATTCAATCCTATTCCCGGTTATCTTTTCCATCAATAAATGGGTTGGCGACTTTATTCGTTCCCGGTTCATCCACCACGGATTCTTTAATTCGTTTATACACGGGTCCCACAGAGTGGCCCGGGAATCCCACTCGAGCTCGATGGAGATTCCGGTATTCCACCAACGGTATTAACAGATGGATAATCGCCTCGATTACTGTGTACTTTGCACCAAAACCAAAGTCATTCAAAGGGTTGCTTCGAAGAAATTTTCAGAGAGAAACAACTCCAAGTACGAAAGTTCGGCCGTCGGCGAGCAGAAGATAGAATTTAGCCAAAAAAAAAGCTTACAGCGTTGTAAATGAAGATGCATGAAAAGTAGAGAGAGGAGAGAGAGAGCACGCGGGGTTGAATACTTGGATTACTACAGAAAAAGCTATGATTAAGGGGGAGTAATGAGATTGAAAGGGAAGTTTGCTTGGAAGAGAAAGTGAGTTGAGACTGACAAGTTAAGCAGAAAGGAGGGAGTTTCCTTCTTTTTTTTGTTTTTCTTTATCTTATACTCTTTTGGGATTCATCAGAAGCTACAGAACAGCAGTAATGGTTCAGCGCTGTATAAAAGATAAGAGATTTCTAAGGCTCAAAAAGGATCGGAACGATGGTGACTCCCATTCTATGTTTAGCATGTACAGTACAGTGCAGAGAGAAAGGAGAGAGAGAGAGAGAGAGAGAGAGTAGTACGTGGCTACGTGCAGGTGCAGCAGCCCTCGGGCCTTTTTACGTAATAACTTCTTCTGGATTTGGGATTTAGCTTTTAAAGGCTGAGAGAGAGAGACGCCTTTACTAGAAGTAGAGGCGTGGAGCTGGAGTTGACTTGAAACAAATAAACATGCAGCGCTTCATGCGCTCATTCATCAGAATTTAGGCGGCGGTGTTGCTGCTACTGTCTGCTGCTGCTATCTCGCCGGCCTCCTCTCTCTCTCTCAGTCTCAGAGTTGGATTCCATGTATGTTTACATTAAATTCAAGAAACCCAGATGGGTTTGGGGCTTTGGGCCTTCGGAGTGAATGAAACAGGGCAAGCAAAGGAAAAAGAAAAACCAGAAAAAAAAAAGAAAAACACCAAAAGGAAGAGAAAAACAAATTAGTCCGAGCCCGATCAATCCGGCTCCACTGCCTGCGCTAGCCATCTGGGAAGAGCATCGGAGAAAGGGAGAGAAGGCCGGCCAGAATGTCTTCTTTTACAAAGTTTGCCCTACGAGGGCACCACTTAAAAGTCAGGTTTTTCCCAATACAAAGGGAGAGAATGTCTTCTTTCACAAAGAGCAGTTCCGACAAACAGAAATCATCTCCTCTGTTAAAAACAATCGATGGGCCGAGAACAGTCAGATTCCAGACACCAGTTTGGAGCTTCTCAAGGGTTCACAAAAAGGATGGCTTCATACAGAGCTTTGGCTTCAGCAACCAGCGCTGAGGAAGCATTTGTGGGACCTCCTTCAATCATCCAACAAACACCCTCTGAGTCCCTCTCCAAAAAACCAAAAGAAGCTTTATTTGGGGATATAAAACCATCATCCACATTGATTTTTAAAGTACCAGCACTAGGTGGTTGCCAAAAAGAGGTTGAGCCGGATTTGCAGTTACCCAGCGAACAGTTTTCCAATCTCGGCAGCAAGATCTGAGATGTCTCCATTATAGCTCTAGCAATAGAAGAGGCAACAGAGGGAGGATCAGTATTTTCATGATCAAACAGAAAAGAATTCTTGTCCTTCCATATTTCCCACACACAAATAGCCACCTTTGCTGCTGCATCCCTGTGACTTTTAACCCAAATCCTTTAGAAGGCTGAAAAACCATTTAGAAAAGGGAGCCAGGGATTCCACAGGTTTGAAGCCTATGTTTATGGCCATCCAAATACACTTGGCCTTCTCACAGAGGCAAAGGGCATGAGTGATGGATTCTGATGCAATTTCACATCTGCCACTAGTGGAAGAACTAGTAAGGTGGAGGGCTTAGAGGTTTTCTTTAACAGTCACCCCATTTTTACAGCATTTCCAGAGGAAAGTCTTTATTTTTTGCTCGATTGAGAGTTTCCATAGGAGGGAGAGGGACCAGCACTTGGATTCATCTTCCACGTTGGAGGGCTTAGAGGTTTCATTTTCTAGATGCTTTAGGGCAAGGAAATAAGCAGACTTTGCTGAAAATTTCCCATTGCTATGAAGAGCCCTGATAATCTCATCCTCCCATCCATTACTGGCAAGATCAATTTCCAAAATCTTCTCAGATGGAAACGTTTCTAGAGAAACATATTTGACACTTATTGAACATTCCATCTCCTACTCTGCTGGTCAATTCGACTAGCTACAGAAGAATCCTCCACTGGTCTAGGTCTTGGTCCCTTAGGTTTCAAACCTTCAACCTTGGGTATCCAAGGATCATCCCATAGATATCTATCTATGTTGTTTCCAACATTTGCCTTTCAGAAAATACCCTTGTTTAGGATAAAGTGACAATTCGGGTAATATTTTTCTATCATGGATCTTGCCCAAAGGCTGCAAGGGTCAATACACAGTCTCTAGGTTTAAGGGTGTCAATGGACTGGACCCCGTTCAGTCCAAAATCAATTTGGACGGATTGGACGTGTCAACAAGACATATTGGATTGGACCAATTCAGTCCAAAATATTTAGGGAGAATTACTGATCAGTTCAATTTTGTAGGGAGGGCTACTAATAGACTATAGGGGGCTGTCATTCAGAATTCTGCATTGGGTTGCAGAGTACTTGACCCAAATATTTATTAGATTGGATTGGACCTGGTCGGTCCATAATAAATTTATATTGGGTTGGGTTGGATTAAGCCAATGTATGGTCCATTGATATAAGATAAAAATATAGGTGTCAATGGATCAGACTTGGGTTGAAACCAATCTAAATTAAAATGAATTTGAACAGATTGAAGGATCCAGACATTGAATTGAACTGGTACAAAATGGTCTAAAATATTCATTGGATTGGACTGGACCTGATCCAATTGTAATGAAATCACATCGGACTGGACCGGATTGGACCAAATTCAGTCCAATTGACACCCCTACTCTAGCTTTTGCTTTGCCAACAAAGCAAGGTTAAAAGCACGGGGTTCCTAATCCCATCCCACCATTTGACTTATTTTTGCATATTTGGTTCCATCCAATTCATCAAACCCTTTTTTATCCTAATTGTCACCCCACCAGAACTTTCTCTGGGATTTGGTGAGATTGTTAAAACCCTCGATGAATAATAAGTTAAAACCCTCTTTACACTTTCATTTTGTTTGATGATAATTGAATCAAATTGGATTTCATATTCAATATTTGATTGAATCGAAGTAGAATATAAAAATTTGTAGATCCATCGGATTCAGATTGAATTCGAATTTCTTAAATTTCCTAACGATCCATTTGCATCCCTAAGCCCTAGCTCAAACGGTATATTTACATTGCCACTTCAACCCACTTCAGTTCAGTTGCCTAAGAATTGCTACTTAGTGACTTAATGTAATGGCAAAATCAGAGGTTGATAAGCATGAGAATGTGGATTG